GTATGTGAAGCAGCCGAGATGTGACCGGCCAGAACAATGTGTACAGAAGGCGGAGTGACTGTTCAATGTTTCTTCTTCAAGGATTCTGGAAATATTCCCGAAGCGATTGCGTCATATCGGACCGCTCTGAAGCTGAAGCCGGATTTCCCCGATGCTTACTGCAACCTGGCACATTGTCTGCAGGTAACATTATTTCTGATGCGGAGGCCGTGCTCTATCATACTCTGCTCCATTGTATCTTCAGATTCAGTTTGTTACGGCTTGTTTTGTTCACTCCAATAAAGATTGTCTGTGATTGGACGGACTATGAAGAGCGGATGAAGAAGTTGGTCAGCATTGTTGCAGATCAGCTGGAGAAGAATAGACTTCCCTCTGTCCATCCTCACCATAGCATGCTGTACCCGCTGTCCCATACCTTCAGGAAAGCCATCGCTGAGAGACATGGAAACCTGTGCTTGGACAAGGTGACCACTTCTAGGCTTCAGTCTGATTGTAATATTTGTTTCCAGGATAACAGGATTGTATTTGTGCTTCTATTGGGGAAAAAAGGAAATTTCTTTCATTTCTAATTGTTCTGTCATTCCCCTCTTCATGGGTTCTCCCTTCCCTCCATGTATGTATGACTGCAGGGGTTCTCCCTTCCCTCCATGTATGTATGAATGCAGGGGTTCTCCCTTCCCTCCTTTTCTATGACTGCAGGGGTTCTCCCTTCCCTCCTGTATGTATGACTGCAGGGGTTCTCCCTTCCCTCCATGTATGTATGACTGCAGGGGTTCTCCCTTCCCTCCTGTACTATGACTGCAGGGGTTCTCCCTTCCCTCCATGTATGTATGACTGCAGGGGTTCTCCCTTCCCTCCTGTATGTATGACTGCAGGGGTTCTCCCTTCCCTCCATGTATGTATGACTGCAGGGGTTCTCCCTTCCCTCCTGTACTATGACTGCAGGGGTTCTCCCTTCCCTCCATGTATGTATGACTGCAGGGGTTCTCCCTTCCCTCCTGTATGTATGACTGCAGGGGTTCTCCCTTCCCTCCATGTATGTATGACTGCAGGGGTTCTCCCTTCCCTCCTGTACTATGACTGCAGGGGTTCTCCCTTCCCTCCTGTACTATGACTGCAGGGGTTCTCCCTTCCCTCCTGTACTATGACTGCAGGGGTTCTCCCTTCCCTCCTGTACTATGACTGCAGGGGTTCTCCCTTCCCTCCTGTACTATGACTGCAGGGGTTCTCCCTTCCCTCCTGTACTATGACTGCAGGGGTTCTCCCTTCCCTCCTGTACTATGACTGCAGGGGTTCTCCCTTCCCTCCTGTACTATGACTGCAGGGGTTCTCCCTTCCCTCCTGTACTATGACTGCAGGGGTTCTCCCTTCCCTCCTGTACTATGACTGCAGGGGTTCTCCCTTCCCTCCTGTACTATGACTGCAGGGGTTCTCCCTTCCCTCCTTGTATGTATGACTGCAGGGGTTCTCCCTTCCCTCCATGTATGTATGACTGCAGGGGTTCTCCCTTCCCTCCATGTATGTATGACTGCAGGGGTTCTCCCTTCCCTCCATGTATGTATGACTGCAGGGGTTCTCCCTTCCCTCCATGTATGTATGACTGCAGGGGCTCTCCCTTCCCTCCTGTACTATGACTGCAGGGGTTCTCCCTTCCCTCCATGTATGTATGACTGCAGGGGTTCTCCCTTCCCTCCTGTATGTATGACTGCAGGGGTTCTCCCTTCCCTCCTGTATGTATGACTGCAGGGGGCCCGGAAGAGGGGGGGACACCTTTTTGAACAATAAAGATCCTTATCCTAGCGTGTTATCCTCCATGAATTGAGGCCAATGTGTCATTCATTTTCTGATTCCTCATCATGCTCTGTTATCAGGAGAAGTTCTCTGAATCTCTTGTCCTTTCAGATTAATGTCCTTCACAAGCCACCGTATGAACATCCAAAGGACTTAAAGGCCAGCGATGGAAGACTGCGGGTGGGTTATGTGAGCTCCGACTTTGGGAATCATCCCACCTCGCACCTCATGCAGTCCATTCCAGGCATGCATAATCCAGATAAGTTTGAGGTAAGGTCTATATTTCCTCTGGTCAGTCCATAAACCTCAAACTGTTATTGCTGTGATTGTGATCTATGCATATAATGCCCCCTCCCCCCAGGGCAACATGTAACTAACGTTATTCAATCAAATGGGGGGGGGGAAATGCCGCTAAGACCCAGTGATGTCATCAATGGTTGGTGGGAGGGGCCAGGAAGCTTGTGTAAATGTCACACCACCCTACCTATGTGAAAACACCTCCTTGTCATCACTTTAGATGTGCATGCTCCATGAGTGGTGCAGACTTTAGCTGTGCAATCTGCGGATCGTTTGCCAAATCAAGCAACTGATCTGCAGATTGCACAGCTAAAGTCTGCCTCGCCCAGGAAGCATGCACATTTCAAGGGATGTGTGTGGGGATGAGGATGGAGTTCAGCTTTAATCTGAAGAGAAGCATTCTTGTGTGTTGGGAGTTACTATTTTTAGGTGTGTGAACGTCTCTCGGCATCCAATCATTCCATGACAAAACCGGTCTGTTTTCCATAGATTTTCTGTTACGCTCTGAGCCCAGATGACGGCACCAATTTCCGGGTGAAGGTGATGGCAGAAGCAAACCACTTTATTGATTTGTCCCAGGTAAGGAGGACAATGGCGGCTTTTCAGTTACATTTGTGGGATTTATTTTACATGTTTTTTCTGAGAATAAAAAATATTCAAATGATGTAGATTAGTGACCGCAGCGTGTAGGTATGGAGGGTAATGTCTCTGGATGGGGTGCTGCCTGTAGGGGAATGTCTCTGGATGGGGTGCTGCCTGGAGGGGAATGTCTCTGGATGGGGTGCTGCCTGTAGGGGAATGTCTCTGGATGGGGTGCTGCCTGTAGGGGAATGTCTCTGGATGGGGTGCTGCCTCTAGGGGAATGTCTCTGGATGGGGTGCTGCCTCTAGGGGAATGTCTCTGGATGGGGTGGCCCCGGATCAGTGTTTTGTAGTTTGTTCATCATTTTAGTTTTGGTAAACGGTATTCTTTTGTCTTTCTAGATTCCGTGTAATGGGAAGGCAGCTGACCGCATTCATCAGGATGGAGTTCACATTCTAGTTAACATGAATGGCTACACCAAAGGGGCCCGAAATGAGCTGTTTGCTCTCAAAGCTGCCCCAATTCAGGTAACACAGGAGACTGAACATGGCACTGACTCCAGTTAAATGAAAGAAAGACTTTCCTTCTCCCTCCTTTTGCTGAACTCATGTACATATAATAGATCTGCAGAGAGCGGGATCTACCCCGGGATCAGATGTGGTCCGGCCAGAACTCCAGTTGTTTTTAGGGGTGAGGTGGGTGTTTGGGGGAGTAAATCCTCTTCTGCCCAGTTCTAGGCATTGCGGGAATTTTTCTGTACCTCGTTCATACCGCACATGGATACCGCTCACTTCCTGTAGTCACTTCTGAGGGAGAATCTGCTGTGGTCACCGGATCACCCCGGCTATAGTTGGAAGGATGCTACATTTGTATATTTGGGTCGGAACAGCCAGGAACTAGGGCATTTTGCTGACAGTCTTTTTTTTTTTCTTTCAGGCTATGTGGTTAGGTTACCCAGGAACAAGTGGAGCACCATTCATGGATTACATCATAACTGACAAGGAGACGTCTCCTATCGAAGTGGCAGAACAGTACTCTGAGAAAATGGCATATATGCCCAACACCTTCTTCATTGGAGACCATGCCAACATGTTTCCTCATTTAAAGGTATGATTAGAGAGGGGGGCACATGGTTCTGATATGGGAGGAGACAGGGCGGGGGCACGCAGCTCTGATATGGGAGGAGACAGGGCGGGGGCACGCAGCTCTGATATGGGAGGAGACAGGGTGGGGGTGGGGCAGACAGGGCGGGGCCACATGGCTCTGATATGGGGCAGACAGGGCGGGGCCACATGGCTCTGATATGGGGCAGACAGGGCGGGGCCACATGGCTCTGATATGGGGCAGACAGGGCGGGGCCACATGGCTCTGATATGGGGGCGGAGGCATGCAGCTCTGATATGTAGTTGGGGGGATGGGGACACGCATGGCTTCTGATATGGGGGAGGTAAACATGTTATAATTTCATATTTTGTAGCTCTGCTCCGAATGTTCTGAGTGACCCCAACATGTTCTCATCTCTCATCAGAGCTGTTTGACCTCGAGGCACACTTTAGTTTTGGGATAGATTAGGAAATGGATTTTATTGCTGTCTTCCCCCTTCTGTCCTGATGGCCGATGTCACAATTCCCAATAGTTCCATGTCACTGGGTGCAGATGTGTTGAGTCCATGAAGTCTTCCAGATCCAATCATCGGTCTCAATTTTTGTTTCTATCCAAAGAAATGAAAACTTTTGTATCTCTTTCAGTTCTGTGATGAAGGAAATGGGGAAACGTGTTGGTTTTATATTCTCTAACTTCATATTGAACTATTTTCCTCCACAGAAAAAAGCCGTCATCGACTTCAAGTCCAACGGCCATATCTATGACAACAGAATCGTCCTCAATGGAATCGACCTGAAAGCCTTTCTGGAGACTCTGCCTGATGTCAAGATTGTGAAGGTGAGTGATGGCGGTGACATCGTCTGTATTGTCCTGTCCATACGTTATGGGGAGCCCCTCCCCCTACCGTATAGATAATAAAAACCAGATCCGTATTCTTTGTCTGCTTTTCTGAATTGTAGGCTTGGATTTGGTAGCTGGTGCTACAGAAAGGTCCTCTCTGCCGTAATGATGGATCATTGTGTGTGTGATGCCGTCTTATACAGAGAGGGACACCAAGGAAAGAGAAATTGGTGGATTAAAGGTGAACTCTGGGCAGAAACTTTCTCATTTCTATCTTTGATATTCAATGCAATCATCTCCCAATGATAAATCCCGCACTTCCATGTGACCGGTGACCCCTGTGCCTGATCTTCCCTCGGGTCACCGGACTTGCAGCGTCCTCTGTAAGTGAGCAGTGACGTATTTTGTGTCCCCAGCTCATTGTACTGAGCAGACCCGGGAGTGTCGGATCTGACCGGCCCGCTAACATTGCGTCATTTGACGGTCTCCCGAGCGATTGTTTAGAGCCCCGCCCACAATCATGCCCATTGCTGCTACAATTGCCATTGTCAGAGGCGGCCCTGCACACTTGGCGGGAGGTGATGTTGGTGCTTGCCCGGGGAGATCCTGGTATATGACACAAGCGAGGACGGTATGAAATGTATCCTGTACATCTGACCATTTGCTGTATGTCAGGTATGGGTCAGATTTGGTAACCAGCCCGGAGTTCAGCTTTAACATACTAATATATCAGTGACTCTCCCACCTCAGCCACTATGGACTCTCCAAAGAATGTAAACCTCAATGGGCGCAGTCTGATGTGGGCGGAGTTAGTGCCCGTCATTTTCTAATGACACATTTCTCCTCTTCAGATGAAAGGTGCGGAGAGCGGAGACACCTCAGACAGTAACTCGGCTCTCAATATGCCAGTTATACCCATGAATACCATCGCTGAAGCCGTCATCGAGATGATCAATAGAGGACAGATCCAGATAACAATCAATGGATTTAATATCAGCAATGGCCTGGCAACAACGCAGGTATGTATGCGAGCGGCTCTCCCTGGGAGGGTGTGTGTGTGTATGTGATCGGCTCGCCCTGGTAGGGTGTGTGTATGTGATCGGCTCGTCCTGACAGGTTGTGTGTGTGTGATCGGTTTGCCCTGGCAGGGTGAGTGTATGTGATCGGCTCACCCTGGCAGGTTGTATGTGTGTGATTGGCCCATCCTGGCAGGTTGTATTTGTGTGATCGGCTCGTCCTGACAGGTTGTGTGTATGTGATCGGCTCGCCCTGGCAGGTTGTATTTGTGTGATCGGCTCGCCCTGGCAGGTTGTATGTGTGTGATCGGCTCGCCCTGGCAGG